CTTTTGTTGGGATGAGGGGCTAGTCAAGCTGTGTTTGTATCGCAGCTTTTTTCCCGCATTCCACACAACACATTGTATCTTTGTTTTGATTAAAAAAATTAATGTCACTCTGTAAATAAGTGGTAAAACAACTTCAAACTTAGATCTCATCGCCCACCTAACTTTCTGTCTTATCCTCGAGTGCTTGTATTCTCTTAAAGTCCGGTCTTTCAGTCTTATTGACCATTTATTATCTAGAATACATGGGTGGCGTCACGTGGTCACAAATGATCTTTAGAAAAAAAAGAAGCAAAAAGACATAGTTGCTGGACAACGTGATGATGAATCAGGTTTTATAGTGGTGGCTATGCCCTTGTTGTAAGCAAACGTTGTTTGGTCTCTCCTGCTATTAATTTTGTGGGATCTGAGAAACCTTTGTAAAAGTTACGAGTCTTTTTTTCGTCAACGCTGATAAGTGATAGCGATGCCGATAACACTCTTTGTAAACAGTTTTTTACGATGAACGTTCTGCTTTCACAAAAATGTGTGCAACTTTGGTTAACCTTTTTTATTCGAATTTTTTTAAAACGTTCGCGATCATAAGATGCAGATGAATTAAGCTCATTAAACGCTCGTCATCAAGTAAAGTCATTTTACCACCTCACGAGCCATGCTTTTCCGGCACTTCCCCGATTCCTCAATAGCTGCCACCAGTCTCTCAGCTAGCACCTTTTCAGGCTGCCACTCACGTGCATCGGATCATACGCGAAGCGAAGGCGGTGCCAGTATTCTCACCACTGCAAACGAAAGCTTATGCGATGTTCGACGGCGTAACGTGGCTATAGTTAGCAGAATACATACTTTCACTAATAATTCAGCAATCTACCTACACAGGATGCGTGCCAGAAGACTCGAAGTCCGAGTTCATAATACCAATATCTAGGTCCGGTGACAGTTTTCTTCCAAGCAATTACAGACCCATATCGTAAACGCAATTATCTGCAAGTTACTGGAACACACAATACACAGACATATCATAACATATCTAAACGACCACAACGTACTTTTTATAAATCACCAATCGCTTTCGCAAAAGCTTGCCCTGTCAAACCCAATTGTTCTTGAATTAGTAACAGATGTTCATCAATCACTGCCCTCATCAATGCACGTTGACGCAATCTTCATCAATTTTTTTGAAGGCAACTATCGTGTCCCTCACAACCGCTTGATTTTAAACGTACGCAATGTGCAGGTTGACCACATTACAACAAAATGAATCAAACATTTCATAACAAAGCGAGAACGGTTTGTCAAAATACAAATTCATATCTCAGACAGACAACACGTCATTGTCAGGGGTACAGCAGGGGTCAGTGCTGGCCCCACTTTTTTGTTTTTTTTTCATTCTACATCAACAATATTGTAACTGACATAAATGCATCTGTTAGAATGTTTGCGGATGACTGCGTAATATATCAAAAAAATGACGTCTCCCATCGACATTATTCACTTGCAGTCCGCCGTCGGTGAACTGACATATTGGTGCAGCGTATGGCAGAGGCAAATAAATACAGATAAAACAAAGCCTCTTAAGTTTAGCACGGCAGCAAATTCTCAGACCAACTCATACACAATTGACAATATCAAAACTGGCACAATTTTGACATGCAGGGTGTGTCAAGAAATGTGTGCAAAATTTAAAAAAAAAATGACAGAAAGGAGGTATCTGCGTGCTACTTGCGGTGTTGCCTTCCTGTGGCAGAAGGAATCTTCAGATGAATACAAACATTGATTACGGCATAAATATAGAAATTAACACAATTAACTATTTAACCAGTGGTGTTAGCCGGTCGAGTAAAACGGGCGAATTGAAGCTCTTGCTTTGAATAGGTCATAACCACTTCGAAATTTTGGAAAAGTGGCCACTGGTTATCACCGCGGAGCGATGCAATCTGGCCAATTCAGCTGGCGATACCGAAACCAACGCACCAAACGGCGCATATGCCAATCACTTCGATAACACCATCAATGACGACACTGTTTCCCTCGCATTGGGAAGAAGAATAAGCGAGCGTCGATAAGCGGCCTCGAAGCGAAGTGTCTAAATTGACGGTTGATAACGGCGAGGAAAACAGTGTCGTCACTGAGGGCGTTGAAGTGAATGGTAAATGCGCTGTTTGGTTCGTTGGTTTGGGTTTCTCCAGCTAAGTTATGCTCATTGCATTGCTCGGCGGTGATAACCAGTGGCCGCTTTTCCAAAATTTCAAAGTAGCTATGGACGTTTCGTAGGAAGGGCTTGAATCCACCCGCTTGACCCGACCACCTATCACCACTGGTTAAACAGGTAATTGTGGTAATTTTTATGATTACTGCCGTAATAAATGTTTGTACGCATCTGAAGATGTTTTCTGCCACAGGTAAGGCAATGCCGCAAGTAGCACGCAGATTACTTCTTTGCGTGATTTTAAAGAATATTGGATACAATTCTTGAAACACTATGTATACATACTTAGGTGTAATATTAATTCAACCTTGACCTAGAATAATCACATAGAGTGCACAACTTCCAAAGCCCTAAAGAAGCTCGCCCTCTAAATTACGCCTTCATCTCGGGAAACGGGACACCAGGTTATTAGCCTATAACTCACTCATTCGTCTTTCATTAGAGCTCGCATCTTTTATTCGACATCTCCATGATGTCACCTGGTCTAATCCGCTCGAAGTGGTTCGAAACAAAACATACTGGTCCATGTTATCTTATTCTCGATTTCAAAATGTCACAAAACTAAAAAAGCACTCATAGTATGAATTCACTCGCCTTGCATCGAACACTCGCCCGGTTATTCTTCTTTTACACCATGTCTTTTTCTTGATCTCATATTTTAGCCGCACACCACATCTCGTCTAGATTAAACCAAGCTTATAAAGTCAGTCATTCATTCAGTCAGTCAAGAAATTTATTAAAGGTCCGGAAGAGTTTGGGCCACCAGGGTGTCCACGAGAGACATCACAGCAGCTGCTACTGTAGGCGATGTCATTAAAGTCAAACCAGTTTTTATCACACTGAAAAATACCAGAATTTACTTTTTGCACTATCAATAGATAAATTGAATTCATTGCCATCTAGCGTTGACACTATAAACAATCATAGATTTTTCAAGTTAGCACCACACTTGTTTCTCAAGCACGATAACACTTTTCAGTCGATCACTTCATTTTATTTTATACTGCATGCCATCTTTGATTTTGATCGTTTCAGAAACCGAGCAAGCCTAAAAAATAATCTAGATGTTATTGTTATTTGTGACAAGTTATTGCTTCTGCACTATATTTCTAGTTTTTTGTCCATTGCTGCATGCCTGAAATGTGATTGTATTTCATTCCTTTTAAATGTCCTCTCAGCAATGCCATCCGGGCTATTAGGGTATCTAAATAAATAAATAAATAAATAAATAAATAAAAATATGGGAGATACCTTGACCCTGTATTAGGCGTAGGGGGTTGACTGAGAGGAATGTGGATGATAAAGAGAGAAAGAGCGAGCAATGAAGGTTATGTGGAAGGAAAGGAGGTTAGCCCGACGACGAATATTCAATTTGATACCCTGCACAAGGGAAGGAAATACAGAACGGTAACACAGAAAAAAAAGAGAGACAAAAAGAACACTAGTGCACGTTGGAGTGTCGTTTAACGAGGCTGGTTGAATGCCGAACCTTCAGCAGCACCTCTGTCGCTTACTGATTAGAACACCACATTAGATAGGCAGTTCTGACTAGTTCACAGTAACATTTCAATTGGTATATTATATAGGCACAAATCTCTTCACATCTTTCACTGAGTACTGGTGAACTTGAATGTAGACTGTGTATGCTCTCGCACGCTCAGACATGGCCATGGGCAGAACTTGAGTGGATGCGTTGGGATAAAGCAAACTTTGCTAATAGCGTGCGTGTATTGCCAGGCGAAGTATAGTAGCATTTTTTTGGCATCCTAACCAAGCTTACCCTTACTTGACGGCACCGGCATGTATTTGATGTTAAAACAAACCAGTGTGACCTTCTGGCCAGCGCTGGTACATTACATAGCTTGCTCACAGCAAAAGCTAACAGGTCACTGGGTCCGTTTGGATAACGCTGAAGAAATCACAGAAAATAGGCTACTCTTCGCGAGGCATTCTTAATTTACTTGCGTCACCCTTGATTTACTTTAATGCACTCTAATTCTCATGTAAGCCACATGATTCACACTTATTTCACTCTTCAATGAACTTAATGCCCTTTGACTCACTCTTGATTTATTTTTTAACAGACTTCAACTCCTCCCACTTCACTCATTCCTGATTAACACTTGGTTGGTTTATGGGGCTTATCCTTCCATAGTAGCACAGTCTATGAGGAACGTCGTAGGGGATGACTTCGGATAATTTCAGCCGCATGGGATTCAGTAACGTGTATAGAACAGTACACGGGCATCTAGCCTTTCGTCTCCATTGTAATGCGAAGGCCCGCGGCTTTTTGTGCAACAGCAGAGCACCGTAACCATTGCACAAACCCAGTGGTATTGATTCTCTGTTAATTCACTCAGTTTGCTCTTGACAGAAACTTCAGTTAATAAATTAATTCATAATTTTTAGTTAAGTAAGTAAATTCGCTTTTGATTCATTTGGTTTCCTTTGTGCATGTTGATTCAGTTATTATTTGTTTTAGAGTTCATTGATGTACTCTTGATTTCTGTTCAATTCAGATAATTTGCCTTCCGATTCATTTAGCATCATCCTATATATATTTAACGCCACGAGAATTTTGGCATCATTCACGTCACAACACCCCCCGGCGTCGAATTTTTCGATTGATGAGCCATGTAAGTAAGGCTTTCGACCTAATAAGACGTTAGTGCACGCGTACGTATGCACTAGCAGATATTGATGAATACTCTTATGCAAACGCGCTATTATTTCATTAGGGCTGCTAGTTCTACCTGTGCAATGTGTTATTATTGAGTGCGCATACGTGTATTCACAGGTGGACGCCAGGACGGGTGCACAGTACACATTCGGTGACCTGCACGACGCTTCTCTACGAGTGGCTGCCGGTCTGCGGCGACTAGGCCTGCGCACGGGCGACATTATTTGCTTCCACGCCGCCAACGGGGCCGACCTCATGATCGCCATGTGTGGAGCTTTCTTCGCGGGTGGTACTGCTGCCATGGCCAAGACTCATCTAACCGAGAGTTCGTAGGCTTCTGACCCCCCCTCCCCCAATAACCTTTTGATGTCTTCCATAAAACGACATGCGAGGTGCTTTTACATCTAAGGGTCGCTTTAAAAAGAAGCAACCTGGTTTCAATTTTACCCTATAGTCTTGTCTTATAGATGGGTACATGCCGTCAGAAATGGGGAACAAAACTGACGTTCTGATAACCACCCATTGTTGGGTTTAGTATTTCTTAGAAGATGGTTAGCTGGACGGAACGAACCAAGACTTCACGAATGGAATGGAACTAGAAGACAGCTTTATCGAAAGACACCAGAGTTGCGTGTGTCACAGAGGATCACTAGCTATAACAGTGTAAACTCAATGATACGACTCTCGCGGGGCCACCAAAAGTTCAAAAGTGTTGTGGCTCGGACAAGTTGGTTATCCATGATGTGCCGCGCATATACAAGCTATGTCTACCAAAAGCATTCGTATTATCAAAAACTCGTATCACCAGAAAACATAAGAAATAGTTGGCAACATAAAAAATGCTGGCAGAAATTTTTATTTATTGTGTTTCAGGGACACCGAAATTTCACGGTCAGCTCCAAATGACTGACAGTAAAATTTTTAGATGTCTAGAATCACACGTGTGCTGGTATCTACAGGGTGTTTCAGCTAAAAAGCACCAAGCAATAAAAAATAAAAAATGATTGCTATGCGTCTTCAGATAGCACATTATTGTCCTTAGCTGCATGAAGCATGTCAGAATGCTTTTTTAATCTGCCAAGCACGATAATTATTAAAGATTGCTAATGAACTTTTTAAATATCGACTCTAGAGAAAAAAGTTCAAGACTTCTAAATCTTATCCAGAAATAACAAAATTTTCAAGTTACGGTATATAACAACGCTGGTTAATTTTTTTCTAGGGTTGGTTCAGAATGCGTGAATTAAAAAAATACCTCCTGATTGCCGCCTAACGCGCGGCGCTTTAGGTGCCCTCAAATATAAGTTGAACTAATTAGCGAAGGCTTCTCACACACGAAAGTCGCTTGAACAGGCTTTCAGTGACTACGATGGACATTAAGTGATAGTTGGATGGTACAATTAAAAAAAAGGAACAGATGATTTTAGTGTCATTTGCTAACGTTACCTCAGCTACTTATGGGTTTAAAATAATCATGAAGAACCAGGTAGCCTTCAATGCTAATAATTGGTAGGTATATTGTAGAGATAGAGGCAGAGAAAAGACTAGGAGGGAGCGTCACAGGACAATATTAATGCAGAATCATGAGAAATTCAAGAGAGGAATAGGCTATGGTCATGTGATAGACAAGCACTAGTATTGGTCGGCTCCCTTTGGTTGCGTCTGTTGTAGAGGCCTAATCCTATTCCGCAGACACTGTGTACTGCGCACCAGAGAGCGGTGGGCGCAAAGTCAGATGAGGTGACCATGCCGCGGCTCTAATTTTGGCAAGTTAGCGCCCTGACAAATAGGCTACGTCTCGAATAACGTATAAACTCACAACTTTTGGGAATGTCATGTCAGTCATACTTTCATGACAAAGGCTAAATGAGACGTCATGTTATACGTTCTCGGATTGTTATGAAGAAAGCACTTTTTGCTTAATTAAAAATGCTCATGTCCTAAAAAGCTATACACTGTTTTCAACAAGCAGCCAACTTCAGTAACTGGCACCAAATATACTTTACTAGATATCAAGATTATAATCATTGACAACTTGGTTTTTTAACATTCGCCTATGAAGAAGAGCAAACGGTGAACGCTGTGTCCAGGAAAATAGGATCATGAGTGGTCTGGGTTATGGGTGCGCCCTTTATGTGCTTTATCCGCTTTATTTTTTGCATTCAAGAGCACCCTACTCTTGGGTGGTTGTCACAGATTGAATCTACATTGTCACTTTTTTTTTCTTACAGGGGAAATTTATTACCAGTTTCAAGACAGCCGTCCGAAGTTTGTCGTCACCGACATATATGACGCAGGCCGGGTAGTGAAGGCTTATGAACGAATCGCGTCAGTAGAGGTGATTTCTGCTCAATTGCATTTGTCTTTTTTTTGCTTTCTTGAATGCTGATATTGTGCCAAAAAGTGTTGCTATTAGGCCATTCTGCTTATATGCCCGAAACAAATTCACCTGAGATAATAGGGAGCTTTAGAATACCGTTTGCAAGCGCTGAGGGCGTTGCGGGCAAAGCGGGCGCCATAAGAGTTTCAGAACAGCGTTTGCCCTGCTGCGAACCCCAACGCACGATCGCAGCGACACCGTGGCCTCGAAACCAGTGCTTGCGGGCCACATGCGGGCCATCATGACCGCACACAATTTCAAATTTTTTGCGTGCGGTCCGCGAACGGCGACTCGTGTTACGACGCATGCACAATGGCGGCGACCGCACCACAAGGGCTCGTGGTGCGCTATTCTGAAACTCCCTAATAACCATACATCGACCGTGGCCTAACTTTAGTGAGGTCTGTACATGCATGCTATGCACAAAAGATTTCGTGTTCAACTAGCACCGTGGTCGTGCAAGTGCTGGTAGGTAGTTCTAGTAAAGTGAAGGTTTTGAGCATCCGCTGCATTTCTACGGTGATTTATGAGAATGTTCAAGCAACTAAATTTACACCTCGGTTAAGAGCATACGAGTGGAGCTAAAGATTACATATTCATCCGCTAAGGCACCTGTCAGACTAGCAGTGGATATGAGAGATGTATACTCATTTCACTTGTTTTGTGCAATTTCATAAACGAAGCCCATTGGGTGTTTCACCATGTGGTCAATGTTCGGAATGAATGAATAAATGAATAATGTTAGGGTTAAATGTGCAACTACAGGCAGTTAAACATTTCGACGTCGAACACAGCGTAGTCATTAACACACAAAAAAGGATAAAACATGTTAAAGTGTCACCCGAGAGGGGAAGTACTGTCATTGCTAAATATTGAACAAGTGCAAAACTTATATAGAAGTTTTGTCTGTGCACGTGAAAGCTTGCTCAGCCCTTATCAAGTCCGTGTCACAAAATAATCTATGACCACGCGTGCCATGACCACACGAGGAGTTTAGCATTTCCAGGACTGGGAGATATTTGTACGTGGTATCATATCTCGGCGGCAGCAACGACAGCCTGACATAACTGAACAAAAAATACGAGAAAAAATTGTATCTTTTGAAAAAAAAAATAACAAATAGTAATCAAAAACAATTCTAAAAACTATACAACAGAGACATACTGTAACATTTTAATAAATCTTTAGTGTCCCACAAAAAAGTGCATGGCTTCCAAGGGACAATGGAACAGCGCCCACTAGAAAACACATGGGGTCCCATCGTATACTCTGGGAAACCACGTGGTTTGCGCTGTGACACAGTAATTTTAACAAAATTTCCAATTGAGCATATGATGTTTAGAGCTGGGAGTCACTTTTGATAACTAGCTTTTTTTGCCTAATAAGACTTTTTTTTTCGCATACCTCTCATCCATTTGCTTCAGACCAACGCTGTTGCCACAAGAGGTGACACTATGTGCAAATGCCCCAGAATCCTGGCCATAGTACTATAGGTGAAAATGAAACAATGGAAGCAGCCAACACACCTAACTTGTGTAGGTATAACAGTCGCACTGTTATCCGCTAAATGAGCGACATTGTTTGTAGGCTGTCATTGTTACGACGGGATCTTACGAAGGGACACTGAGCCTCTCGGAACTGGTTAGAACTCCTCTGGATAACTTTGAGGCTCCGGCTGATGTCAGCCCAGATACCACGATGGCAATAATATATTCCAGTGGCTCTACAGGACTGCCGAAGGGTGTGGAAATCACACAGCGCAACGTAATCGCCCAGGTGACTTCATATGGGTGAGACATTCTCGTTTCCTTTCTTTTCTGTGTAAATATATGAGCGAGTTGAAGATTCGCTGCCTAATTGGAGTTCGCTATTTAATACTTATCGCTAAAACTTAATTAACGTTTTAGGAGGCTTAACTGCTCAACGACAGCCCAGTATCACATGGCTGAGCTGCGGAGCAAGTGCGCTTTACATTTGTAAAGGGAATTCCATACATAATGTTGACGTACCTTTGACGCAATGTACAAGAGCGTAATCTATGGCACTTGAGTGCTCTGTTAAGTAGAGTAGGGCGCAAATAAAAATGAATAGCAAGTGGTATACAACTATCAGCAAGAAATGGTTTACACGCATACTTTCTCTTATATTGGTTAACTGGAACTTGAAAGCTATACTTCGAGATGAGTATGTCTATGCAATGCTTTTACTAGCGTGAAGAAGTATAATATTTGCTATCCTGCAACATTTTAGGTGGGGAAGAAAAAACAATGTTGGTTCCTAATTACTTCCGTGCTGAAGGAATATAAAAACTAGAGCTAGCAATAAACAAAGGAGAGACAGTGATATGAAGTGGAGTGGTATTGGTTGGTCACTGTGGGGTACAAAAAAGCAATAAAAATGAAAAATAAATGACATCGAAAGACGCAAGAAGGAGCCTAACACATACATACGAGGAAGCATGTTGCGACAGTAAAAAAAGCGTAAAAAATAAAAATTTTCAGTACGTAAACTACAGCAGGCTTAAAGTACAGCTTGCGAACTGCAGCTTTCGTTCCACTCGCGTGCAAATGAAGGCCGTTTTCGTTCTCGGTTTAGCTCTGCTGGTTTATCGTACGAAGTACAAAAATACCACACAGTCGTAGGCGGCACGTATTTTTTTCAAATAGTTTTTTAGTCGCGGGAATTTCTCATCCTCAAAGGGACTGATAGAGGTCATACAGACTAAAAAAGAATTATGGCAGCTTCGCACTTTCCGTGCCCAGCCGGAAGAAAGAGCGAAGTATAGGTGGCCTTTTTTGTTCCTCTTTATTTTCGCTTACATTATCTTTTTCTTGCTTTTTCGCGCATCTCTTTTTTGTATTCGTTTTTTTCAACTTTTTTTTGCTCTATATATTCCTTTGTCTTTCCCACTCTATTTTTATTTCACTTTCTTCCCCTTTTCCTCTCTCTGCTTCTTTCTATCTTCATATCCCTCTTTCTATGTATTTCTGTACCTTTCTCTTTACATCTTTATTGCCTTTAGATCGTATTCTCTCTCTGTTTTTTCGCTTGCTCCATATTTTTATCTTCTTTCTATTTATGTATTTTTTTCGGGGGCTTCACGTGCTCCACTTCGCCGAATAGAGTTTTTGTCTGATGGTCATGCCTACTGTACTCGGTTGTGGGTATTGCCCAATTACTGTGGCACATAACCACCTATAATGTTTTGCACGATGGAGCACAATTTTCCCATCGCCTAATCAGCTTCACATTAAAAATCACAGGATATCTACGGAGTTGATGATGAGTGGGCCAAAGCGTCTGTGCGTTCACCCATGTGCGTATCCATCCGTCCGCGCATGCGTCCATGCATCCGATCGCGTTTCGGAATGAAGGCGGCACGCGGGTAACCCCAACGAGACGCAAGCTAAGGAAGCCGAGTGCAAGCGTTCTTAACTGCGCCCACCACTCTGCTTCGTCCAGCCCCACCAACGATTCGCCACGTACGACGACTATCCAGGAAACTGAGACAGGGCAAAGTGCACGCAGCAACCAAACGGAGAGTAACGGCAATTCTAAGAGTAGCGGCAGAGTAACGCCATCTAGGAAATGAGACGACAAATGGTTGTCCATTTCTGTTGACTGCTTTTTTTCTCATCTCTTCTCTCAGTTATACGTGACCAGTAAGAAGGATAGACTAAGAGGAGCTTTGCCCCTAAAAAAAGCTCTGGGCCGGCAACGACCTAGACCACGACAGTATGCTCTTTCTTGACTTACCATACAATGAACCGATGCTACTAAAAAATGACCCCGTATCTGCATGTTACACTGCAAATGTCGTCGGACGACGATAAGGGTTGCGTCTGGAGAGAGTGAAAAAAAAAACACGTTTATTTGGTGTTCTGCGAAAGAAAGTCGGTGAATGGTATTGTGGAGGTACTGCGTTAGAGTGCCTCGAGTGTGCAGCAGAGGCGAACGAGCGCATCAAGTCACGTCAGACGTGAGACATGAGCGCTATCTACCAGTTATCTTGAAAAACAAAGCGCGTGCGCCCTGCGCGCCCGTATCGAAGGTGATAAGGTGTAAAACGCAAGGCGACGGGTAGATAACACCACCCTGTCGTCTTAGCAAAGCGTTGGAAACACTTGCCTTTTCATGCAAGCGTCGCATCGTCAGCGCAACGTGATAAACGCTACGGTCCTTAGAATTACTTATGTATGCCTTTTCTAGTAAGAGACACACACATAGAATATTGACGTGTTGTTTTGGTGCCTCAGATATGCGCAATATTTGTTTTTTAATTGAAAATAGCACACGTATGAACGCTGAATCTTGAGCAATATTGGTGGGCGCTGCGGATGGGGTCGGCCGTTTGGGGTATCGTCTAGTGCCGTTGAAGGTACCGTAAGGGTGAACAAACAGACAATTGTACAGACAGACATGTAGAAAAACGTACAAACAGGGAGACAGACCAAAATTTTTGCGTCGAAGGTCCCCAAGAAAGACTACCGCATTTAAAACATACGATCTGTTAAGTTGAAACAATTCTGCTTAAAGTCTACGCCAAAGGATGCAGCAGGTGAAAAAAACGTGGTATTTCTCAACTTCGATGTGACCGTCCTGCGTGATTTATTTGAATAATAACTAATTTTTATCAAGTATATTATTATTTTTTCCTACCTCCAGACAACAAAATCAAGCACTCGAGGGCGCGAGGGTATACGGCACAGATTGGATTCAGAGGTAGATAACGTAAAAATTTTATTGCTATGATGTTCTTTATCGCACCTTGCAACATGCCCTAGTGGAACTCCAGGTACGTTGAAGATCGTAGGGCCATTAATTATCGATGATGAGAGAGAAAGAATTGTCACAGTAAACTTGCACTGATTTGAAGGTAATTTGCGTAGTTGCTACTACCTTTTTATGAAAGTTTTTTTTTGCATTGTCAATTTTGGATGAGTTGCTCATCAGTGAGGCAGCAGTGCCCTGTCGTGTTTGTAACGACGGAAGCCTAAGGCACCGGATAGAACGCGTAAATTGACCAGCGGTGACCTGTGACGTCAGCGTCAACACGTGTGATGCAAGAAACGACTGTTACGAAATGAAGTCGCCGTATGCCAAAATCTATGACGTCGTCAAAAGACAACCTCGCTTGGTCAAACGTCGCCTGACCACGGAGGCAGTGCAAAACGAGAAGAGTGGCAGAAAGCTTGCAAAGCATTCGATCCTGAATGCGAGCAATACCTCTTCAGGTTCAAAAAGCTTTCAGAGGTGGCGGCGTGAGCTACAGCCAGCATATCTACAAAGTAGAAAAAAGTAGCAGTAGTTTTTTGTGTTTGAGTCATTTTAGGTGAAAACATATGTAACCCTGTGAGTTTTTAATATAGATGTAACAGATGGCAAGCCCCACCGCGGTGGTCTAGCGGCTAAGGTACTCGGCTGCTGACCCGCATGTCGTGGGATTGAATCCCGGCTGCGGCGGCTGCATTTCCGATGGAGGCGGAAATGTTGTAGACCCGTTTTCTGACATTTGGGTGCACGTTAATGAACCCCAGGTGGCCGAAATTTCCGGAGCCCTCCACTACGCACCTCTCATAATCATATGATGGTTTTGGGACGTTAAACCCCACATATCAATCAATCAATCAATCAATCAATAAATAAATCAATCAATCAATCAATCAATCAATCAATCAGTAAATCAATCAATCAGTTGGCATGGGTTAAATCCACCCTTCAATAATCGCTTACATAGCTCTGACGTTTTTGAATAATCATTTACACTTGTTGCGAAATTTCTATTCCTCTAAGAAGTTTTGCTTAGTGTTCTGTCAGCTCTAATATAAACTAAAGAAAAGAAGCGATAAAATAATAGGAAGCATAGCAGCTGTACTAATGTAAAGTGTAAGTGGTATGTTTTCGTGTTCGTGGCAAGTTCATATCTTCACCCAATTTTTGTGCCTTGTTCATGCAGCTACCTGGATGCATCGATATTTCAAAAGGCGACATTCTGCTTGGTTCCGCAGCACTCATGCATGTCGGTGGCTTTTGGATGACCATGTGTTATCTTGGCCAGGGATGTAAAGTTGTCTTAGTTCACAAGCCGGATTTTAGTTTAATTCTGCCCGCGATAGAAAAGTACAAGGTGAGTAGTCTACTTTTAAAATAATGTAATTCACGTGTGCAAATGTTTGTTGATGTAATTGAAATTTTAAAGCAGAGAGCTCTCAAATTGCTCTATTACTGCCTTTGACAAATAGGCGAAGATGCCACAATAAAGAATGTTGCATTCGGGAAAACCTGCGTGAAAAATTAGGTGAAAAAACAGGATAAAAAAGCCATAAAGTAAATTAAAGACTAGACTGATGAACTATAGAATACGTGCAGTAGCCACGATACACGAACAAACTCATTTTGGTGCGGTGATAGGCGAAATTCTGCGGTCATGTGAGGCTCAATTATTAAATATAATACTACATCACTTAGACTTGCTTGAATCTGGGATTATTCATCTATCATGTGCATCCTATAAGACTAAGCAAGGCTGCTGCAGTGGCTCAGTGATTACCGCAGCCCGAAAGACGTGATTCC